CCACCCCGGCAGGGATGTTTCCCAGAGGCAGCCACACAGCCCCGTTCCCATCATGTTTGCCAATGGCACGGGTGCCCCAAGAAGGGGTGGTGGGGAGCACTGCCAGGCCCTGAGGTGTGCCACAGCCTTGGGGTGCACGTGAGGTTCTCCTCATGTCCTGCTGCTACCCTGGGAAGAAGAAGCAGCCCCTGAAATCATCCCTGCATCATCCCGCAGCTTCCCCAGGTCATCTCACATCTTCCCCGGCACCATTTGCAAAAAGTGTTCTGTGAAAGTCTCATCCCTGAGCAACAACTTCTTTTGTAAAGAGTTTGGAGTTGATGGAGGAAGGGAAAAAGACAAAAGCAAACCCCTGCGGTGACGGCAGCGTTGCCAGCCTGGCACTACCCCCAGGGTCCCTCCTGCTCCCAGCACAGTGCTCCAGGGGGTCGGGAGATGGGGTAGGATGAGGGTGTGGGGGCTGCCGAACCCCAAGCACGGCCGCCAGCACCTCCCAGCCTCAAAAACAACCCCTCTATTCACAGCTGGGTCTGGTAACGAGCATTTCCTGCAGCAGTGCAGCCCAGGCACCCAGCCGCTGCCAGGGGCACCCGGGGAGAGGCTGGGGATGATGAGGTCCCCAAAGCAGAGATGTTGTTTCCCCGACACGGTGCCGTCCTGTGGCAGAAACCGGTGAGAAGCCGCCCACCTCGTGAGCCCAAGCCCCAGGGGGCAGCCAGGGAAGGGGCCATAGCAGCGCCGTCCCTCCTGCCACCCCCAGGTCCCCACGGCAAAGGCCTGGGAGCCACAACTGCGGGCGCAGGCAGGTGCCCGGCTGCGTGCACAAAAGGAAAAAACATCAGCTCTTGCCTTTGCCTCCTTTTATTCCTCCTCAAAGGGCTGCTCGCCGCGTTTTCCACTGTGGTTGACCCCACCATCCTTAGGGACAGGGCACTGGGTGCCCTAAAACAGTCTGTGCCCGATGGGGATGGTGGCATTGCCCACGTCACTGTGGCATGGCATTGCCCCACGGCTCAGCACTGCCTGCCCCAAGGGAGCTCAGCCCTGGCAGCAGCTCTGCAGACCCCAAGGCACTTTGGGAGGGATCTGTGAGTCCCACAAGGTCCAGATGCACCCATGGGTGCCTGCGAGGGTCCCATCCAGGCTCGGTGCCGAGTGATCCGTGGGGTCCCACCATGCTCAGCAAAGGGAGAACCGTCGGGAGTTGATGTTCATACGGGTGACGCCGATGTGCTTGAGCGGCATGGAGAGCAGGAAGGCGGCCTTGGGAGGGATGTTGCAGAGCAGGTCCGAGTCTTCCTCGCAGCCCTCGAGGCCGAAGGTAGCGTCATCCAGCATCTCCTTGTGCTGGTGGCAAGCCTGCCGCAGCCTGCATCTCCCGCTGCATGGGGAGACGGGCATCAGGAATGAAGCGGGACCGACAGTGGGGTCAGCCGCCCCGCAGGAGTAGGGGTGCTGGGGCAGCAGGGTTGGGGCTTGGCCAGGGCACAAACCCACTGCGGACCACATGCACAAGCGGCCTTGGGATCAGCACAGACCCCACGCACACGGTCTCGGGGTTGGCACAGGGTCTGTGCCGAGATCACAGCCTGGGGCCAGCTCAGCCACCCGTGGGTTTGCACCCCCCCCGCCGTGGCCCCCCCACCAAACGCCACCGTGGCTGTGCCACAGCTGTGCCACCAGCAGAGCAGGCAGGACCCTGACAGAGCCGTGACGCCGGCGCTGTGCAGGGGACACAGGCAGAGCCATATGTGCCTTGCAAAATCCACATATGCCAGCTGTGCAGGGCAAAGGAGCAAAGCACTGTGCTGTGGCTGGAGTGCCCTGGCTGCGGCACATCCCTTCACTGCTGCAGGAG